GTGATTGGTACAAGGAAAATAATCTTGAATAGTATGCAATAATTATCGAAATACGCCAAGAATTCATGAGTATACACCATATCTTTGTTTGATCTTCGACTTCCTCTTCATGATGATCAATGACAGTTGCAAATTTTTGGGCACCAGCAAATATACATGAAATAATTAATAAATCTATTATTAAATAAATTACTATGCAATAAATTGTATTAATTTAGATAGGTTAGACTTTATGTGACAAAATGATTATTCCAAAAGACTCATTGCAATACATGGATGATTTTAGGGTTCATCAAATCCTCTTCTTAAGAGTTCAAATGTCGCAAAATATCTTATAGGACAGAAATATCTTCTGCCCTCAATGGACATGAGATCAATTCCAAATTTTAGAGATGACCACATAAATATTTGCATGAAAATTTACTTTTTTACGAAAGTAACTTTTTAGCTCAATCGAACGTACTTCAAATACGTAAATAATATTTTATGGTTGTCTTCATATATGCATTTGTTTATGTGCCTAACATCCCCACTCCTTCAACTCACATGCAATAGTACCTACCTCAATTATTGTTGAACATAAACATAATGGCACAAAAGTTGCCACTCGAATACCTTAATTCATATATTAGTTTCTCATCAAAAAGTCTCACTCAATGGAACTTTTTTATATAATTTTAAAAAAACTAATTATATTTATTTTCAAGTACGAGTTTTATGGTGTTATCAATAAATATGGTACCCAAAGTAGTCTAAAGAAAAAGATGAATATTTTCTCTTATAAGAATTCGCAGCATTTTTTAACATGAATTTCGGGTCAAGAAACTTACTTGAAATGATGAATTCTAAGATCTTTTGATGGTTGAATCGCGTTGTATTTCAAAACTTCAAAATCTGCATATCTTGTTCTTTAATAGTCCCAATCCCGATTACAATGGAAGATGATTATTATCCACAATCTAAGTGTCAATTTTTGTGAGATTTCTTGTCCAAAATATGGTTATAAGGATTTTTCAATTTTGACGTAAATTTCCATACGAATTTTCCCTTCATTTTTCATGCCATCTTTTTCCCTCTTTTTCCAATGCACAATCATTTGAGGTTGTATGGGAGTTAAGGCTGGTTATATGGAGTTGCACGTTTAAACTT